ATCACGAACCCAAAATTCGCATTAGAAACACACAATTCTAATCAAAATTTCATTAATTTTCAATCAAACAATACCCTTTTTTTATGCACTCTCTAAAATGAGCTCACTTTCTCTCCAAAAAAAAAAACTCTTAAATTTTTGCAAGAAACCCCTCATCTGACAAAACTTTTGAGGATTCTTCTCATCTCTATCTCAAACAAACACATTTTCTTGAATTTGTTGCAAGTTAGAGAGAGAAAAAGGGCTAAAAAACAAGAAACCTCACCTGATTTCTTCTTGTTTTTTCACTCAAATTCAATACACTTGCACACCCCATTTACGATTCACCTCTGTTTATATTAAAAACAAACTCTAATTTTGGCAACAACGGCAAAAATGGCAACAAACAGAACAAAAATAAATATAAATAAAAAACCCTAAATTTTTTGTTTTCTAGAAACACTTTTATTGTAGAATCTGAAGGGTTTTTGAAAGCATGAACATGTGGCGGGAAACACTTGAATTGCAAGTGCAAGTGTTATAATATTATTATTTTAATTATTTTTAATTGTAATTTCTATTTTTGTCTATATACTTTATTGGCAAAAATGACAAATTAATTAATGTGTTAGGTAGGCATAGCAATGTTCCCGAGATTTTGGGGACCCGTCCCACCCCGCCCCATATGGGACCGGGAAGCCCCGATTTTTTTGGGGATAGGGGCAGGGGTGGGGGGTGTTTTAATCCCCGTCCTCGAGGATAGGGCGGAAGTGGGTGATGCCTTTCCCTTGGCCCGCCCTGTATATAATATATAAAATTAAAAAAATGTATATATATATTTACTTTTCACTAATATCTCTATATTTCACATAATTACACAATTATCCTTCCTATATTAACCCATATTTTTCTAATTTCCCTCACCCCAAACAATTGAACAAGAATAAACCCTGACCCATATTTATGTATAATTAATTATGTTTAAACGATTAATTTAAGTGTTTGTCATGTGGACGAGAATTAACTATTTTGTTTGGTAATGCTCAAATTAATTTATGTTTATATAAAATTAACGAGGCGGGGACGGGCCTCCAACATTCCCCTTTGGGGCGGGGAAGGGGAATTCTTGTCATCCCCATACCGGGGATGGGGCGGGGGTGGGGAATGATTTTGAGGGTGGGGAATGATTTTGAGGGTGGGGATGGGTACGGTGAATGAGATCCCCGCCCCGCCCTATTGCCATGCCTAGTGTTAGGATAATTAAAAGTACAATAAATTCAATTTTCTATTCATATTTTGTCACATCATTTTGTACAAAGATCTTACAAAGATTTTTATATAAAGTGAGGTGATAAAAAATGAATGAAAAAGTGAAACAAAACATCAGACTCATTAAATTCATTTTTCTATTTATATTTTGTCACATCACTTTGTATAAAGATCTTTGTAAAATTTATTTGTAAGTATAGTATTACTCTTAAAAGTATTCATGAGCATAAAATTACCTTTTGCCCTTGAAGTTTCGGAAAGGGATTACCATTATGGATTCATTAGCAAATTGACAAATTAATTAATCTGTTCAGATAATTAAAGGTATTTTTGACAATAAAATTACTTATTTGCCCTTGAAGAACTTAATAAATGATTAACTTTATGGTTCTATCAGCAAAGATGACAAATTTTAGTTAATGTGCTAGGATAATTAAAAGTATTTCTGCATGCGAAGTTACTTAATTGTCCTTGAAGAATCCAAAAAAGGATTGACAAATTTTAGTTAATGTGTTAGACAATTAAAAGTATTCTTGAATGTGAAATTAATTATTTGCCCTTGAAGTTTCCAAAAGGAATTACTATTTATGGATTTATTAGCGAAAATGATAAATCAATTAATGTGTTCAAATAGTTTAAAGTATGTTGCACGTGAAGTTACGGATTTGCCCTTGAAGTTTCAGAAATGGATTACCATATATGGTTTTATTAGAAATAAAAAATGATATGAGGTTTTCTACATAATTGATCAACTTGAGATTTTAAAAAATTTGTGATTAATATGAGGTTTTCTTTTACTATTGATTAATACAAATTTTTGCTTAATTTGTGTTTAATTTTTCTTAGTTTGGTGTAAGTTTTACTATAATTTTTTCTTGAATTTAAGATCTTACTTCATTTATGATTATAAATTTTTATGGTTTCATGGGAAGGAGCTCCAAAGAAATAAACCGAGAGTCTGACTTGTAAAGCGACCAATTTTGAAGCACACTTTGAGAAAGATCATCAGCATTAAATACATTAATATCACTGTCAAAGATAATATACTCATCGGGTTCTTCAACAGTGGCTTTAATATGCAGGCAGAGGATAGTCACTGGCAATTTCATCTTCATTGATTTTAATATAAAACTTTTTGATAAAGCAACAGGTTGTCGAGTTTTCTTCTGTTTGATGATCGCCAGTTCTCTCTTCCTGCAACAGCCTGCCTACTTCATATCCTCACATTCAGTACCACTAGCAGATGAAGTGGACTTACTGGTTTGCTCTTCTTCACGAGTTGCAAGACTTGTCTTCCTTACACTGCTCAACACAGAGTCCTTTGGAGCACAATATTCCCACGTTTCTTATTCTTACTCAAGGACAGAGAGTACAGGCAAGTCTTAAAGAGATGAGACTTGGCTTAGTGTTTTATCCAAACCAATGAGTTGATTTATATGAACTCACCTTGTGAAATGATGAAGTCCTTGTAGATGTACCAAAAGAAAATTCTTACTATCACTCATGGAACGAACAACTCTTGAGGTAGTTCATCAATAGTCAGATCAGGTTCGCTCCACAAGTCCTTGACAATGTTTGTAGACTGCACAGAGGCATGAGCTTTTTCAAAGAAAAGATTAATAATTTTTGTAGTTGTTAGCAGGTTTAACACAACAATAATCTGCAATCTCAGTGGAGACCCAAATCACTGGCGAGCCTTCATCATATCCAGATATTGACCAAGATTCTACCCGTCCAAAACCCTACATTTGGCACCTTTTTCCTTCTCTTTTCAGAACTTCCTTCAGGGGCAATTAGTCCTGAAATGAACAAGTCGTGACTTCTAACATTTAGACAGATCGTGGGTTCCCATAAACATCATGAAAGACGAATTCTGTCAGTCCGGTTTGGTGAGAATCATATTGTCCGGCAGTTAAGATTATGGCAGTAGTCTCATTCTATTACAGCCTTCTTTTATTTTCAATAAGAGATGACTTGTCAGTTAAGCAAAGAGATTTGTCCTCGTAATCTGAAGAGGTAGCAGCTCTCTTTGGCATTTTCCTACAAACAGTGGTTTGTCATCATTGTCAGACCTGCTTCTCTTCTCTTTGGTTTTGTGGCCACTCTGATTTGCAATCTGTTTCATTAGCCTCGGATGGAGCAGATGGTTTTCCTTCAGTCTATTTTGCCATCCCTAGAAATAATCCATTCAACAAAATGGAAGATAAGTACATGCCATTTACAATTAAAAAAGGAAGTATGATAGAAAGCTATCAGAAAGGATATAAACTTATACAAATAAAAATGACCAAAAAGGTAAGCTCAAAAAAATTATATAAAGACCTAACAGCGAAGTGCCAATGTTAGCAATCAAGTCATTAATGAGACTACAGAGAAATATCTTCAGTAAAAAACCCTGCAATCAATAAATTTATCCGCAAAAAGATAAAAGATGAAAACAAAGAGAGCTAAAACAAAGAGAAACTTGAATAGAAACTACACATCAAAGCATCGACAAATCTATAAAAGACCTAAATGCATCCTCTTGAGGCAGCATGATTGATGTTAAGGCAGGGGAATGGGGATAGTGTAGAATACTGCCAGGGAAACCTATTAAACTGTTTTCTGACATAAGATTACACAACGAAGCACCCTCGAAGTTTAGAAAAATGATTATATAACCATTTGTATTCTAAAGAAGAATTAATTGACAAATGATTGTCCACAGCTTGTGTTATCCTTTCATTTAATTTCAGGGTAAATAAAAGATCTATACCTGAAAATGAGGAGTGTTGAATCAATGAATTAAGAAAAAAGTTTCAGCCAACATTTTAGCCACAATCAAATTATAGCTTAACTGAAGAGAGGGCTTTATCGTGAAAATGCAGAGCTAAATTAAACCATTATTAAGAACAAGACTGATCAACGAAAAATCAAAAAAAAAGATGAACTTTTCATATGGAAAGAACATACTTGTGATTCAAATACATCAACTATCAAAACTCTTCAAATTACATCAAGCGAATGGCAAAGAATCCGAAATTCGCATTATACATGATCAAAAGATCAAGATTTCATTCAATTTCAATCAAAAAAGAATCTTTTCCTACTAATACAAAATGTTGGACTCTCTGTCTCTGAATGTGCTGACACACAAGACCCAAACTTATGAAATTATCAATCAAGAATCCGAAATTCTTATTATAAACAAACAAAAGATCTAGGTTTACTGAATTTCAGTCAAAATAGAAGCTCAATCCTACTAACACAACCAATACAAACTAAAGGGTCCTTAAAGAAAGAACCCTAAACAAAAGAAGTATAATGGAATTACATCTTGGGATACAATTAACATTGATTTAGGTCCTTATATATAGGCCCCAAAAGATTCCCACTTTTCATTCCTTTTCAATGTGGGACAAACTAACTCATTTTGGCCTATTACATATAAGTCCCTAAACCTTTCTCCATTATCACTTCTACCCCATGTGATTTTGCTAAAAGCCATTTTTCAACACAACATAAGGTCCACAATAACTTAATAACATCAACACTTCGAATAGAGAATTTCTGTAACAGAAAACATTAGACAAATAGATACAAGTAAATGTTTCAGATTGGGTTTCTAGACTATTAGAAGATAAACCAAAGTTTACTTAGATACTCAAAAAACAACTAAAAATTAGATTGTCTACATATCAAGCAGAGTGCTTTTTAACCAATATGTAGAATCTGAAACTTAGATGCAAGTTGCTACTTAGAATAGGGCATACTTCTCTAATGTCAGAGTAGTATACTTTCTCTGTTGATATGTCCTCTGGCCTGAAAAATTTCCGAACTTTAACTTTAGTAGATTCAGGAGAAGGAAGTTTTTTAGACTTTGGTACTTCAATCTCAAGTAACTGACAAACAATATATGCCTGCAGCGCCACATTTCTCCCACCCTTAAATGTTTCCCTTTCCCTATCTTCAGCTGTAAAACAATGAAGTGCTAGGTAGACAAAATCGTGGACATGGTACTCACTTCCGTTCAGAGTAAAACTATTCCCATAGAAATCCAACTTAAAGGTCTCCTTCTGCGCCTCAGTTTCCTTGATTTTACAAGAGTGACAAACTCCACTTCCAAGTCCCATATTATCTTCTGGGAGACGAAAGAAAGCACCTCTATCCGGCCAGTATAAGATTTTGCAATAATATTCCAACGGTAATCCTTTAGATTTTCTATCTTCTGCTCTTTCTTTATCAATCATGTCATTATGAGCGTTAGCCTTCCGATGTTGATGTCCCCAAGGAATAAATTGGATTTTAACCTCGACAGTTTCTTTAATATCTCGCAGTTCAAATTCCTTACAGTTATTAGTTAGAAACACCTCCCTCTCATCACTAGCTTTAGCAAGAACAGTCTGTGATCCTCTAAGCATCAGTCTTCCATGAACCATCTTTCTTGCATCTGAGTTTTCAAACATATACTCAACAAAATAAATGGGAGGCAGTTGAGCAGAATCTGAAATTTCCATCAACACAGAGCCACCAACAGCAACCAAGTTGCCACAAACAAAGGCTTGCTTATACAGGGGCTCACTGGAACACATTTTCCCTACTAATTCTCCATCCCATTTAATATCCTTGTCAGAACTTGGTGATTTAGTTAGTATTACAGCTGAAGGAGAACCCTCCATTTTCTCATCAACTTGCATATGTTCCTCTTCAACCTCTTCAGGATCTTCCTCTCCATTTTCTTCTTGTTCTTCCTCTACTTCGTCATCCTCTTTTATGTCAGCACCATCTGCCTCCTTTGAATCTTCAGGCAAATAATTTGAGTAAAACTCTCCCCAAATCCTAAAAATTTTATTGTAGTCGTTGCAGGCATTGCTTTCCTTTTTGATACCATTGGTTCCATTACCGCTCTGGGATTTAAATTTGCTTCCTTCTTCAGCTCCACTTTTTTCTTCATAAACCACTTGGTATGATGTCTTTCCTCCATTTTATTGCAAAGACCAGTCACAAAAGCACACTTCCTGATCGTAGCATCTGGATACTCCACAAGTTGTTGCAAAATGATTTGCCCATGAACTACTACATACCTTTCAACTGCAGCTGGATTGGAGGAAATGTAAGCAGGATGATTCTGATTAAATTCTGAAACTCTTTTGATTACGTCTGCAAATGAGAGTCGTGAGGCTCTTGCTTGATCCTTCAGCAAGGTAGTTATGGCAACAGCCAACCTTGCTGTTTTTAGAACTGGTTTATACCATGGTGCATATTGCTTGAAGGCTTACCAAGCCTATACCTGAAGAAACCCAAAACGAAATTGTTTACATTGTGATTTAGAATCTTTACCCTCCATATATGGAATGGCATCACAGTTTCAGGCCAAAAACCACTCATTTCCAATTTAAAACCAAGCAAGTTTTCCCATGTAAAAATTTTTAAGAGATAAAGAACACATATATGGTACAAAATGAGTTCTTTAAAAAAGACTCACTGACAGAAAGAGAGACAAGAAAAAAGGAAATAAAAACTATAATGCTATTTCAAAAGCTCTTGGTAGTATGAGTATAGATGTATACCATGCCATATTCATTGGAACTGATATGATTATCATTGAAGATCCGAATTCAACCACCCATTCCTTTATTGCACTCAAATAAATCGGAACTCCATCCACATCCTGTACTCCTGCAGAGGTAGATTGATCAGTATCAACATCATGAAAAGTTCCTTCATCAGTCATCATGAACCCTGACCCAAAGATTGTCACATCAATATCAGCACAAGGTTTCATGGGAAGGAGCTCCAAAGAAATAAACCGAGAGTCTGACTTGTAAAGCGACCAATTTTGAAGCACACTTTGAGAAAGATCATCAGCATTAAATACATTAATATCACTGTCAAAGATAATATACTCATCGGTTTCTTCAACAGTAGGCTTATAATATGCAGGCAGAGGATAGTCACTGGCAATTTCATCTTCATTGATTTTAATATAAAACTTTTTTGATAAAGCAACAGGTTGTCGAGTTTTCTTCTGTTTGATTGATCGCCAGTTCTCCTCTTCCTGCAACAGCCTGGCCTACTTCATATCCTCACATTCAGTACCACTAGCAGATGAAGTGGACTTACTGGTTTGCTCTTCTTCACGAGTTGTCAGACTTGTCTTCCTTACACTGCTCGACGCAGAGTCCTTTGGAGCCACAATATTCCCATGTTTCTTATTCTTATCTCTAAGGACAGAGAGTACAGGCAAGTCCTTAAAGAGATGATCACTTGGCTTAGATGTTTTATCCAAACCAATGAGTTGATTATATATGAACTCACCTTGTGAAATGATGAAGTCCTTGATAGATGTCCCAAAAGGAAAATTCTTACTATCACTCATGGAACGAACAACTCTTGAGAGTAGTTCATCAATAGTCAGATCAGGGTTCGCTCCACAAGTCCTTGACAATGCTTTGTAGACCTGTACAGAGGCATGAGCTTTTTCAAAGAAAAGATTAATAATTTTTTGTAGTTGTTAGCAGGTTTAACACAACAATAATCTGCAATCTCAGTGGAGACCCAAATCACTGGCGAGCCTTCATCATATCCAGATATTGACCAAGATTCTACCCGTCCAAAACCCTCACATTTGGCACCTTTTTCCTTCTCTTTTTCAGAACTTCCTTCCAGGGGCAATATTAGTCCTGAAATGAACAAGTCGCTGACTTCTAACATTTCGACAGATCGTGGGTTCCCATAAACATCATGAAAGATGAATTCTGTCAGTCTTCGGCTTGGTTGAGAATCATATTGTCCGGCAGTTAAGATTATGGCAGTAGTCTCATCTTCTATTACAGCCTTTCTTTTATTTTCAATAAGAGATGACTTGTCAGTTAAGCAAAGAGATTTGTCCTCGTAATCTGAAGAGGTAGCAGCTCTCTTTGGCATTTTCCGACAAACAGCTGGTTTGTCATCATTGTCAGACCTGCTTCTCTTCTCCTTTGGTTTTGTGGCCATCTCTGATTTGCAATCTGTTTCATTAGCCTCGGATGGAGCAGATGGTTTTCCTTCAGTCTATTTTGCCATCCCTAGAAATATATCCATTCAACAAAAAGGAAGATAAGTACATGCCATTTACAATTAAAAAAGGAAGTAATGATAGAAAGCTATCAGAAAGGATATAAACTTAATACAAATAAAAATGACCGAAGAGGTAAGCTCAAAAAAATTATATAAAGACCTAACAGCGAAGTGCCAATGTTACGCAATCAAGTCATTAAATGAGACTACAGAGAAATATCTTCAGTAAAAAACCCTGCAATCAATAAATTTATCCGCAAAAAGATAAAAGATGAAAACAAAGAGAGCTAAAACAAAGAGAAACTTGAATACTGAAACTACACATCAAAGCATCGACAAATCTATAAAAGACCTAAATGCATCCTCTTGAGGCAGCATGATTGATGATAATAAGGCAGGGGAATGGGGATAGTGTAGAATACTGCCAGGGAAACCTATTAAACTGTTTTCTGACATAAGAAATTACACAACGAAGCACCTCGAAGTTTAGAAAAATGATTTATATATACCATTTGTATTCTAAAGAAGAATTAATTGACAAATTATTGTCTACAGCTTGTGTTTAATCCTTTCATTTTGACCATTTAATTTCAGGTAGAAAATAAAAGATCTACTACCTGAAAATGGATGCAGCTGTTGAATCAATGAATTAAAAGTAAAAGTTTCAGCCAACATTTTAGCCACAATAACTTTCATAAGAGTTTCTCATAGTTTGACTATTATGAACATATGAAAAAATGTTGCAGGAACAGTTGAAACTGGTTGCAAAGTAGCTTCTCAAAGACACAAATTTTAAACGATTGCTACAATTTTAAAAGACATGGTATACCCACAAAAGCTAAGGGAACTGAATTCTATATGATAATAAAGTTTTAATGCACACTAAATGCTCAACTTCAAGCAACTTAAAAAAGACACCTGTTAAACGTGCCAAATTCAGTAGTCTGAAGCATTTATGAAGCAAGTGATCTATATATAAATGCACCTCAAAAAGGAATTTAATGAATGTATTATACATGCAAGTATTAAGGCAAGTCAAAAAAGATGACATAATTGCATACGAGTTCATCATTTTATATAAAGAATGCTCTTAAAGGTGCAAATTACTTGAAACAGAGTCTTAATGACTACTTTCACCTCAATTATAAATATCTTTCCTTAAGTTTTCCCAAATCAATGTAAACTACATGGCTATAAACTAAAAAGACATGCAAGAAAATGAAGCTGCACGTACATGCCGAACCACTAAACATTTAACCTGTAATGCTATGAAATCCCTTCATACAAGTTCATGCCATAGTTATAACACCAAAAATTACATTGCCCGTCCTACAATAATACATTACTGCAGGCATAACATTTCGATAAATATATGAATTATAAAACATACTCTTGATTTACATTCTAATACAAAGGAACAAAATGGGAGGAAGATAATGAACCCTGGAACAATCCATGGATTGCAGATGATGCATGATAAATCCTGTAGGAAAAAGTTTTGCACACGAGCACACAACACATAAAATATGAATTACACACCCAAAAAACAACCATCTGTATAGTCATATATGAGAAGTAAATATGAAGCCTGGAATTTTCAGTAACTTCATAATGAACCCTAGAACATGCATGGTGAAAAGGATTTGATAAAAGTCTTACAGGTCAAGTAATCCAACAGAAAACGATAAACAAATATGTAAATGCAAATGGATAAGGAAAAGCAAAGATGTGATCAATTTTTTGAAAAAAAATATCACCGAATTCAGAACCAGAATCCTGGAGATTAAAAAAAATTAAAAATCTAGATCAGACGATTCCATGTAATAATTGAACATGATGCCTTCGTATCAAGAACAAAAATTGACAGATACCACAATCAGGAAACTTTCAGAGCATAAAGAAAAGAGAAGATAAGAAAATTAAAGAGTATAAATGATTCAACATTTGTGACAAGAAAGCCTAAAATCAAATTATAGCTTAACTGAAGAGAGGGCTTTATCGTGAAAATGCAGACTAAATTAAACCTTTTATTAGAACAGATGATCACAGAAAAATCAAAAAAAAAGATGAACTTTTCATATGGAAAGAACAACTTGTGATTCAAATACATCATAACTATCAAAACTCTTCAATTACATCAAGCGAATGGCAAAGAATCCGAATTCGCATTATACATGATCAAAAGATCAAGATTTCATTCATTTCAATCAAAAAGAATCTTTTTCCTCTATAATACAAAATGTTGGACTCTCTGTCTCTGAATGTGCTGACTACACACAGACCAAAACTTTATGAAATTATCAATCAAAATCCGAAATTCTATTATAAACAAACAAAGATCTAGGTTTTACTGAATTTCGATCAAAATAGAAGCTCAATCCTACTAACACAAACAATACCGTTTCTTCTAGCATCTCCTCAATGTCTCACTTTCTTTAAAACCTATATCTTTATACAAGAAATGTACTTTATGCAAAAAGACAAACCAAAAAACATAAATTACACATCAAGAACCCGAAATTCACATTAAAACATACATTTTTGATCAAAATTTCATTGAATTCAATCAAAATGAAGAAGCTTTACTCCTACTAATATAAAAAATACCCTTTCAAGTGTGCTAACTTTCTTCTAAAAACTTTAATTAAGCAAGAACAAAACACAAACCAAAAAGAAAAATTGTAAAATCCGCAATCACGAACCCAAAATTCGCATTAGAACACACAATTCTAATCAAAATTTCATTTTTTCAATCAAACAATACCCTTTTTTATGCACTCTCTAAAATGAGCTCACTTTCTCTCCCAAAAAAACTCTTAAATTTTGCAAGAAACCCCTCATCTGACAAAACTTTTGAGGATTCTTCTCATCTCTATCTCAACAAACACATTTTCTTGATTTGTTGCAAGTTAGAGAGAGAAAAGGGCTAAAAAAAAACACAACCTCTGATTTCTTCTTGTTTTTTCACTCAAATTCAATACACTTGCACACCATTTACGATTCACCTCTGTTTATATTAAAAACAAACTCTAATTTTGGCAACAACGGCAAAAATGGCAACAAACAGAACAAAAATAATATAAATAAAAAACCCAAATTTTTTTGTTTTCTGGAAACGCTTTTATTGTAGAGTCTGAAGGGTTTTTGAAAGCATGAACATGTGGCGGGAAACACTTGAATTGCAAGTGCAAGTGTTATAATATTATTATTTTAATTATTTTTAATTGTAATTTCTATTTTTGTCTATATACTTTATTGGCAAAAATGACAAATTAATTAATGTGTTAGGTAGGCATAGCAATGTTCCCGAGATTTTGGGGACCCGTCCCACCCCGCCCCATATGGGACCGGGAAGCCCCGATTTTTTTGGGGATAGGGGCAGGGGTGGGGGGTGTTTTAATCCCCGTCCTCGAGGATAGGGCGGAAGTGGGTGATGCCTTTCCCTTGGCCCGCCCTGTATATAATATATAAAATTAAAAAAATGTATATATATATTTACTTTTCACTAATATCTCTATATTTCACATAATTACACAATTATCCTTCCTATATTAACCCATATTTTTCTAATTTCCCTCACCCCAAACAATTGAACAAGAATAAACCCTGACCCATATTTATGTATAATTAATTATGTTTAAACGATTAATTTAAGTGTTTGTCATGTGGACGAGAATTAACTATTTTGTTTGGTAATGCTCAAATTAATTTATGTTTATATAAAATTAACGAGGCGGGGACGGGCCTCCAACATTCCCCTTTGGGGCGGGGAAGGGGAATTCTTGTCATCCCCATACCGGGGATGGGGCGGGGGTGGGGAATGATTTTGAGGGTGGGGAATGATTTTGAGGGTGGGGATGGGTACGGTGAATGAGATCCCCGCCCCGCCCTATTGCCATGCCTAGTGTTAGGATAATTAAAAGTACAATAAATTCAATTTTCTATTCATATTTTGTCACATCATTTTGTACAAAGATCTTACAAAGATTTTTATATAAAGTGAGGTGATAAAAAATGAATGAAAAAGTGAAACAAAACATCAGACTCATTAAATTCATTTTTCTATTTATATTTTGTCACATCACTTTGTATAAAGATCTTTGTAAAATTTATTTGTAAGTATAGTATTACTCTTAAAAGTAGTCATGAGCATGAAATTACCTTTTGCCCTTGAAGTTTCGGAAAGGGATTACCATTTATGGATTCATTAGCAAATTGACAAATTAATTAATGTGTTCAGATAATTAAAGGTATTTTTGACAATAAAATTACTTATTTGCCCTTGAAGAACTTAATAAATGATTAACTTTATGGTTCTATCAGGAAAGATGACAAATTTTACTTAATGTGCTAGGATAATTAAAAGTATTTCTGCATGCGAAGTTACTTAATTGTCCTTGAAGAATCCAAAAAGGATTGACAAATTTTAGTTAATGTGTTAGACAATTAAAAGTATTCTTGAATGTGAAATTAATTATTTGCCCTTGAAGTTTCCAAAAGGAATTACTATTTATGGATTTATTAGCGAAAATGATAAATCAATTAATGTGTTCAAATAGTTTAAAGTATGTTGCACGTGAAGTTACAGATTTGCCCTTGAAGTTTCAGAAATGGATTACCATATATGGTTTTATTAGAAATAAAAAATGATATGAGGTTTTCTACATAATTGATCAACTTGAGATTTTAAAAAATTTGTGATTAATATGAGGTTTTCTTTTACTATTGATTAATACAAATTTTTGCTTAATTTGTGTTTAATTTTTCTTAGTTTGGTGTAAGTTTTACTATAATTTTTTCTTGAATTTAAGATCTTACTTCATTTATGATTATAAATTTTTATTAAAATATATGCCTTTTTTTCGTTATTATTCCGTTTTATAACTTAGTTTTTTTATATATATATTAAATAAAGTGATATTCATTGTGAAGACGAAAATACTTTTTACTCATCTTCTTCTTTTCTTGCCCCACCACACAACAGCAGTTTTTAGGCCATTTCGA